GACCGAGAAAGATCAGAATGAGGAAGCTGATGTAGGTCGTGAAAGCGGTAAAGTACGGCGGCTCGTCGAGGACCGGGTCGGGGATTTCGCCCCCGCTATGTTTGCTCACATAGAGATGCGACGGGTCGCCGAGGGGACCAAACTCAGCGTGCTGCTTTGCGAGACTCTGCGCTTCGGTTGCATTGTAGATCTCACCGGAGACTGCTCGAAGAGAGGTCAGGGCGATCGAGCGAGTTTCCGATGTGCTCCGTCCGTTCTCGCCTGCTGTTATCGACACAGCTTGCGGGCCAGTCGCACTGGCCACAGGTTTCTGTTTGCGTTTCCATCGGGGCATGATGGGAAACTAACCGAGATTGTGGAGGAGAGATATCAGATGCCGTGGTGATGGATAAGCAAAGTGATGGACGATGGATGGAGTTTTGGGTTTGGGAGGTGGGAATACGGGAATACCCGCCCGAGCCGGGAGGAGAACCTGAGGCAGCAAATGTCCACCTGCCGGCTTCCGAAGTTCCGATGCTTCTGTCTGATTGGTTGAGCGGCCACAGGCAGCAACAAATCCCTCATGAATCGGATGCAAACTTACGGCAATGACGCCTCCTATGAGAGTCCCTACTCTGTCCTCCAAATCTAATGAGTCCAGGGCAGCTTCGAGTTCTCACTCTGGCTTATTTATCAAATTCTGCAGTTCCATGTGGCCAATGATACCCCAATAGGAAATGGCCGACTGGATCGACCAGGAACGAAAATATATATTACTTGGGATAATGCAAAGCCGCCTCGTTTAGAAAATATATGAGATCAACGAGAGTTGTACTTCATGTACCACTCTGAGGAAAAGGTCAATAATAATGGCTTGAATCTCCAGTCCTTGATCGATAATCTATGGACTGCTTCAAGCTGGCAGGCTATGAGAGCAGCTATGAGAGCAGCTATGAGACCAGCTATGCTGTAATGCTAGCACATTAAGTACAATTATCCATTCAGTGTAATCCTGAGCATCAACACTGCTTTATAATGCATTCAAGTCCACTGTGCAGAGGAATATATCTCGTTCCCTGCATCCAAGGCAGCAGCAGGTATTCTATTGGTTCAATATCGTGCAATAATCAATCCCACTCCCAGGTCCATCGAGAAGTCGGACGTCCGGCGGAGGGCAGTGGGTTAGCACAGGAATATGGGTCCGTTCAGAGCATCAGGTGTAACATTAAGAAGACTAGTAAATCCTTCTGATGGTATCACGATTACAGAATTGGCTCACCCAGTCACACAGGGAAGATCGTAATCTATCGTACAAGCTTCCCAAGCGGGGCGAAGCTTTTACTCCACATTTCTTGGAGTCCGTGTTCCCCAATAGGAGGGGGATACGCATATTGCTCGCAAATAAAAAGCATGCACTTTCCCCAAGAGTAACTGCTGTTGGTTTGTCCATCACGCCAGAATGCATTTCGCAGTCAGTGCCATCACCCTGCTCGTGGCTAGCACCGCCCTGGCCCTGGAAAATCCTCATCGCAAAGCAGTCAGACCAATCAAGGTAGATCATGGCCATCTAAAGCCCCGCGCTGCCACTGTCGCAGATGACGGAGGCTATAAGTATCTTAATAAGAAGACGGAGCGTACGTTTAATTTACCTACACGTCTCCTGGTCTAATGATTGTTAGGATTTCTGGTAAATGGCACGGGCATTCCCGAGGTGGACTTCGACGTGGGTGAATCTTATGCCGGCACTCTTCCCAACACGCCAGCTGGGAATTCCAGCCTATTCTTCTGGTTCTTCCCCTCTCCGAACCCCAAAGCGCATGACGAGGTACATGCAGATCCCGCAATAAAAATTGGCGCTCCTGACTGACGGTCGGTAGATCACCATCTGGTTGAATGGGGGCCCTGGGTGTAGTTCTCTCGATGGATTGCTGCAGGAAAATGGTCCTTTTCTTTGGCAGTCTGGCACGTACAAGCCTGTCCGCAATCCATACTCGTGGACTAACCTGACCAACATGGTCTATGTGGATCAACCGGCCGGGACTGGCTTCTCCCCGGGGCCCTCCACAGTCAACAATGAGGAGGATGTTGCAAGGCAGTTTAAGAGCTGGTTCAAGCACTTCGTTGATACCTTTAATCTGCATGGCCGTAAGGTGTATATTACTGGAGAAAGCTATGCTGGACAGTATATTCCCTACATTGCCTCGGCCATGCTGGACGAGAAAGATACAAAGTACTTCAATGTGAAGGGCATCCAGATCAACGATCCGTCCATCAACGACGATTCTGTGATGATATATGGTATGCACATCTTCCGTCATTTCTGCCCATTATTTTCAAGGCTAACATATCGAGTAGCCCCCGCTGTCAGCCACCTGAACCAGTACCTGAACGTCTTCTCTCTCAATGACACTTTCGTCAAGCATATCAACAAACGTGCTGAGGAATGCGGATACAACAAGTTTCTGGATGAGGCTATTACCTACCCACCCCCAAAGAAATTCCCTGTCGCCCCAGACCCATCCAAGAACAACTGCGCTCTCTGGGATGAAATCGTTCAGGCGGCCTACTACGTCAATCCTTGCTTCAACTTCTACCATCTCACTGACTTTTGTCCGTACCTATGGGACGAGATGGGTTTCCCCTCGCTGGCCGGAGGTCCCAATAATTATTTCAATCGCTCGGATGTTCAAAAGGCCCTTCATGTCCCTCTGACGGACTACTCCGTCTGTGGGGAAACCACGATCTTCGCTAAAGGCGATCAATCTGTCCCCAGCGCCCTTGGTCCTCTCCCTAGTGTGATTGAGCGTACCAATAACGTCCTTATCGGACATGGATGGCTTGATTATCTGCTATTCGTCAACGGGTCTCTTGCCACGATTCAGAATATGACGTGGAACGGTGCACAAGGCTTTCAGCACCCGCCCGTAGAGCCCCTCTATGTTCCCTATCATTATGGGCTTGCAGAGCTCTGGACATCTACTGCGCCGAATCCATACCTTTTGGACGCGGGGGCTGGGTATTTGGGTACAGCGCACACTGAGCGCGGCCTGACCTTCTCAACAGTCTACTTGGCTGGCCATGGTAAGAGAATTATCTATGATACATGTTTCGTGCTGACACCGCAACAGAGATTCCACAATATACACCCGGAGCAGCTTACCGTCAATTGGAATTCCTGCTCGGTCGTATTGACAACCTGTCATCGCCTGGAAGCTATACTGCCTAGGAGCCCGGGTGTCATCATCCAGTATCCATGCCGATGTCCAAGTGGAGGATCAACAGCACGCCAAATGTTTGTCCCTGTCATGGGTATCTTTAAAGTTTAGGGCTTTTTAGAGTACCGTAATCCATGGATCGTTTAAAAGAAACAGGAAATTCAATATTGACCGTAATGGGGGGAATGTCTGATGTCATTGAACTGAGGCCATCCCCACACTCGCGAAATTCTCCACATTGTTGAAAAGTTAAAAATGATTGCCCACCTCTTTAGAGTACATGATGTGGAAAGTCTGAAAATAGAGAATGAGGTCTTGGAAATACATCACTCTCTGCTGGCTCTTTGCACTGCGTGTTCAGAATGAGCGCGCAAGGTCCTCTATTTGTCGCCCAGGAAGCATTCTGTTTCTATCCCATTAGCACTAGTTATGATTCCTGTCCGCGTTACCTCTTCTATGCTCTTCTTCTGGCTACCTGCGTGACACGATGGACCGGATGGTTGACCGACGTCTTCCTAGGCGCTGCAGCAACATACGCAGGAGTCGCCGCCATCCAGGCGTTCATCCTTGTTTCGAGTCCCTCGTCGCCCGTAGACCCCGGCCCGGTTACAATCCCATATCTCCCCAGGAATACCAGTCTCTGGGGTAGTTTTCCTCAGCTCATCACGGAGAGAGACTATGTGATCGTCCAGCCAGCCGCTGTGGAGTTGGATGCCGACGCAGTCAATGCGATTGTAATCACAGGCTATCTAGTGTTTCTGCCCTTGCAATGCTGGTCCCGCGTTCTCTCGCAGGAGCGCATCCGAGTTATCCTTTTCTACCTCTGGAATATCCTCATGTTCGCTGGTTCCATTTGCGCGTTGATCTACTCAAGTACTGCAAAAAATACACCGACCCAATACATGTTTTGCTATCCTGACCTGCCCCCGTTCGACGAATCATCCAGCGATGGGTGGCAAGCCTCGTGGCGAACATCCACTTGGAACAATAGTGTCTGGAGCATATTCTCCAATATCACACTCTGGAGCCAACTCGGTGACATCTGCTTCAACCCTTGCTTCAACTCCAGTCAGATTCTGCGCCAGCAGACATCTTTAAATGTGTGGGTTGCGACCAGTCGCTCGGAGCTGGACCATCCGCACTCGTTCTGGAACAAGTTTATATATTCACGGCGTTACATATACAGTCTCCTTGGCGTCACTGTCATCCTGAACATCCTTCTGCTTGTCTCAAGGTTCTTCCCCTACAGTTCTCGAATCCCGTCCGTTCAGATGATGGTTGTTTGGAGAGAACGCAAGGCCATATGGACCAGCTTCGGGGAAGGATTCTGTCTATTGAAGGAACTTGCATGCCAGAACGATTCCCTATCACGCAAGAGCTCTAATTGGCGCCGGTTGCGATCTGTCCTAAGCAGGCGCTTCGCCAAAGAATTCCTCCGTCTATTGGCAGACTCGCTCATTCTCATTGGACTGCTAGTGAGCATCATCATCAGCCCGTTGACACTGATCGCGTTCGTCGTCTGGATTGAGTGGTACATTTACAACGACGGACCGTCGCAAGAGAATCCTCAGCAGGTCGGGCAATGGTCGTACCTGGTTTCCATTGGGCTGTTGCTCATTTCAGCGTTCATCCTGAGATGGAAGTATCATGTTGTCTCAACCCAGGAATTGGATGATGAAATATACACACTCAGGGAGCGCTTAGCGGATGTTGAGAGCAGAAGGTCGCTGCGTGCAGAGGACAGTCATCGAGCTTAAAGGCTTCCTCTAGTGTGTTTTCCAGCGCTTGGGATTGTTGTGTCCGCCGTCACCAGGTGCTGTCGAATTCGGCTCCATATCTGCCCCGCATTCGGTACCTGGAGGTTGGAGACTGTCGTGAAAGGGTCCTTCCAACTACTCGATCCGATATTGGCACTGCCGATGTAAGAGTATTTGGGATCAAATTGACAAGGCGGGTTGGGTCATCCTGGAAAATTGGCAATTGCTTCATCGTTCTCTTGCTGTGCATCGGGTTTGTGAGTAAAATCTTCACTGCTGGGCTCAGTGAGGTGTCGCTAACAATGCCGTGGAAGCAGTCCATTACGACCTTCAAATCTGGCATCGTCCTGGGGTTGTCAAAGAGAGAGATAGTATCGACGACACAGTAGACAGTAGTCTGTGCGGAAAACTGTGCTATAAGATGGTACAGCAAATGGCATAGACACGACAAGTCGTGGTTCTCGAGCCCTTCGACGAAGTCCCAACTGTCGATACAGTCGAGGTCACAGCGCTTCATCTCCAGCAGCCTCACCAGCAACTGTATTGCCAGAAAGCGAACCAGTCCATTTGGACCGTACCATGCGTCCTTAGGTAAGGAGTGTTGGCCGCAGAAATGGAAAACGACGACATCCTCCGGATGTGCAGTGACCATACTGGTAACCAGTGTGGCAGAGAATACGGACATAGGCGTTGTCTTGGGCATGCCGGGGTCGTCGATATTTGCATCAACGAGCACAAGATCGGATTCTGGGCGATTTAACCATCCCAGAACTCGGTTGTTTCTCAACACGGACTCTTGCACTTGCCCCTGAGTCTCTGTATTCAGCTTGCCCTTGTACAAAAGGCACTTTTGCAGGTCATCGTTTGGTCGTTGGAGCATTTGTCTTAGGTCTGCTAGCTTGCAATTGTCGGAAATTGGCAGCCCTGTGAGGATGTAGAGGAGTTGATCACCCTTGATGAGCTGTCTGGACTTGCGGGTGTAGCGAATCTCTCGCCGCAGCCTTTCAATCTCGGTTCGCTGTCCTATTGTTCCCCACGGTCAGTGATATGGTCTCAAAACATGGAATAGTCCGCCCTACTCTTGGACTCCAGTAAAATCTGGAGGACTTCATTTCTTGTTATAACCTGACCAGTCTCTTGCTCCCTTATTCCCAGGCTGTTCTGCCTATTGTTCTCCCTTGCAACGATATTCTGTGTATCTGCCCTAATTTGATGGAGCATGCTGTAAAAAGCCTCATAGCCCCTTTTGTAATCCTTATCCCGCTCATCCTGCCTCTCACTGAGCACCCTGAGGCTCTCATTTGTCTCCAGAACATTGCGATGCATGCCGGGCAATCTCATCGCCATTGACTGAGTCAGAAGCCCTGTACCTTCGATGACATTGTCCCGTACCAGATCGATCACTCGCTCGAATTCCTTCCGAGCCTCTTCTAACTTGCCCAGAATCACGTCAGGATCCGGTGGTGGCGTTCGATGCCTGAACTTGGGAGCAGTGGCCAGTTTCTGTCTCCACGAGGTCTTCTCTTTAGAGGTCAATAATATCATATCCTCGATGCACTCCACGATAGACTGGTTCAAATGGTCCGCAGAAACGCAGATCCCCTCGTTACTCCGAAAGCTCCTCTTTGCCGGATCGGCCCGAGTAAGTGCTTCTCGGATAGCTACGAACGTCCTTTCGATCTTTTGTCGTCTCTCTGCAGATTTTTCTGCCAGCTAAACAATTTTAGCATAGGGACGTTGACCAGGCTGCAAGGCATACCTTGAAAACCACTGCCAGCCCAGTCTTGACGACTGCCAACCCATACTCATTGGGAATGAGGGCAACCCATGCATCCAGAGTATCTTTGGTATCGCCCACATGGTACCATAGCGAATGCCAGAACGTCTTTTGGCGGTCCGTGTATCGAGCCTCAGTATTTGCGAGCTTGTCGGCTAACTCATCAAGTTGCTTTGCGTCTTCTTGGAACTGCAAGCCCAAATTCTCGGGCAGGTAGCGTTTCAGAAGTTCTTCAAGCGACCTGTGCGAGTCTATTAGCCTTTTCTTTTCAAACTTACAAGGCATTGACGATAACGAATTCTGCCCATTCTACAATCAAACACTCACTTGTGAAAGTTCGGCGGCACAAATTGGTGCTCATCATCATCATACCTCGAGGACCCCGCCATTGCAATATGGATATCAGGACCTTCGGCACTGATAAAAGCGGCAGCATGCGCGGCTAACCTGCTCTCGACTGGATCTCCGGCCCTCGGCGTCATGATCGAGACTCCCAAGCTGAGTTGACCATGGATGACTGTTCAAATGGTGGCCTGCGGGGTGCGGAGTCATCATCATATAGATACATGGACAACATGGTGCTTATGAGGATCGAGACCTCGCCGCGCGTAAGCCGACGTGGACTGGGACGATTGGCGCTCCGCCATCTAAAGAGCTGCAACATGCATTTCAGCTCGTTTCATATCATGGCTCGGCAGCAATTCACGCCAATGATAGCTTCAAAATAACCTGTCAGCCTCGCGAATTTACACTAGCAAGAATCAGCCCCCCTTTTAGCGCGCCACATGCTGCCCGTCAGCCCGCAAAGCTGACCAACAGAATTTGAGCGGCTAACAGGATTCTGTGAAGAAGGAGTGAGCCGGGCTCGAATTCTCCTTTATATTCACGCAAGCCTGTGATTATGCGTGCGGTTTCCCTGTCATGAGAATTTATTTTAGAATCGGAAAAGATGGCCGCAGCCGACGCACCTGGCAGGGAGCTCTCCCCAGGACCCCAGAGGCTCTTACGCAGGCGGCCGACGCAAAGGATCCTGGCTGATGACTTGAGTTTTGAAGAAGATGAGCAGATAAAGAAAGAAAGGCAGGAAAAATGGGAGAAGAAACGCCAGCAGATGCCGTGGAAGGTAGAAGTCCAAACCCTGGACTACCATCACTTCAAAAACCGGTATTCTCTCGACGATGGGCTGGCTATCATTGAGGTCCTCCAAGGTCACCACAGCATCTACAACGAGGTATGGCATGAGAACAATCGTCGTCGACTGGGGTTTATATACCCAGAAACGCCGGTCGAGTTGGAGAACGAGGGAACCTGGATCCAGAGGATTCGAATACAATCGCCGGAGCTTCTCCTCCTGCTTTCCCGGCTGACCGGCCATCGAGATCTGTGGGCCAAGCGAGGCCCCCGCGTCTTCTTCCGGCCTTTTACAACATTTTACTACTATCTTCCAGAGATGAAAGAGTGTCTGTCGCTTCTGGAGTCACGCTGGGGCGACAATGTCGATGAATCACATCAAGACCCGATCGACGCGACACAATGGACCGCCAAATTTAACTCATCCAGCCATAAAGATATTTCCGAACCAGAGGATGAGAGCTTTCGAATCAGGACGCCGGCCGAGTCGGTAATCGGCCCCATCGCAGATTCCGTGACCGCGCTGCGCCACGTTCGCCTGTTTGTCGACTTTATGGATACTGAGATTGTCCCCTTGTGGAAGCGAGCTGCCGGCACAACGCATCGTAAGATCGCTTTTGCGGACCTGTGGATGTCATACCAGCCTGGCGAACTGCTCTACGTGCCATCACCCTCGGAAACAACCCAGGACCAAATCTGGCCGGAACCCCTTCCCATGTCGCAGAATATCTGGCGGCTGCACACAATCAGCCGCGACCAGTTTCAGGAAGTGCATAATTGCGATATGTCTGCGGCCACCGGCCAGGAACTGGATCTCTGGAGCTACTATATCGATTTTAATGGGGTGTCGTATGAGCCTTACACTAGGAGGTTCAGTATCAAGGCGTATGAGGGGCTAAGGGACATCACCACGCTGCAGATCTACCCCCTGCGCTTTCACAAGGATGCGGAGAAGCTGCTCGAGAGCCGCCGGGAGGTGGGACAGCTGTTCCAAAAGGCACTAATGGAGAAGCATCTGTACTACGAGGGGTGGACTCTGACGGACGAGCCCACGCAGAATCCTCAGTTGCAGGATCGAGGGAATTCCGAACATATCGAGGGCCAGGTGATGATTGACTTTGTCGAGGGGCACAAGTCGGACAGCGATCTCGCCTCGAAATCCGACCAGACCCTGACTGGATGGTCAGCCAATGACTGGCCCGAGGGAGAAGACAACGTCGCCATCAACCATTGGTATCAGTGGTCCAGCGAAGACGAGGAAGGGTCAGAAGGCGAAGCCGCAGACAAAGGCCATGGCAAGGCATGTGAGCCAGGTTTTGAGCTCGTGAAGGAGGAGAGCGACTGCTTGCAGCTTTACGAAGACTTTGCTGGGATCATCAGTAACCATGACATCGAAACCAACAACTTCCTCCGGTCATACATGGCAGGTAATGCGATGCAAATTGATCCTGAAGATCTTGTTCTGCTGCCAGGTCGCGTTATTGCCTACGCCTTTCGAGACCGGCGGTTCGTGCGTCTGGACGTGAAATATTTGCAGCCAATCCCTCCCTCAGACAATGTCTTCAAGAACCTGCGAATCAATGAGGAGCACAAGCGGATGGTCCGGGCTTTGGTCAAGACGCACTTCCAGAAGCAGAGGCTGAACCTGGACCTAATTCGGGGCAAGGGCTCGGGGCTGGTGATTCTCCTACATGGCGCGCCAGGAGTGGGCAAGACAGCCACGGCAGAGGCTGTAGCCCAGGCAAACAAGAAGCCTCTCTTTTCCATCACTTGTGGGGATCTTGGATTCCAGGCCCAGGACGTGGAGACAAATCTCAAGGAAATCTTCCGGCTAGCTCATCGGTGGGACTGCGTGCTCTTGCTTGACGAAGCCGACATCTTCTTAACTCGTCGAAATTTGAGTGACCTTGTCCGCAATGCTCTCGTATCAGGTATGTGATCTCTAAAAGTATGTCTGTGAGTCTCACATTCATGAAGATGTCGATAGTTTTCCTTCGGATGCTGGAGTATTACAGCGGGATTCTGTTCCTCACCACGAACCGGGTAGGTATCATCGACGAGGCCTTCAAGTCGAGGATCCACGTCAGTTTGTACTATCGGCCGCTCGACAGAGAGCAGACACTCGCCATCTTCAGGAACAATATCCGCAAGCTGCGCAAGGTCGAAGCGGAGAAAGACCGACAACGCACCTCGGATCCCGATAGCCCTCAAGGACCGATTCTGGATATCGACGAGAAGAGTATTATGCACTATGCTGCGTGGCACTATGACAGCCATGTGCAGCACCGATGGAACGGTCGACAGATTCGTAATGCGTTCCAGATCGCCTATTCGTTTGCCCATTTCGATATTCAAAACGGGCCGGACACGTGGCAGAAGGAATCGGAAGAGGAAGGAGATACAGATAGCGACGAAGGGAAACAGGTTGATTTCACTGTGACCAATCCGGTCCTGGACTACCGGCATTTCCTTCTCGTCGCAGACACCATCCGACGATTTGATAATTACCTTTGGGAGACCACAGGCGAGACGGAAGAGGAGCAGGCATTCAACTGGAGCTTGCGAGCCGATGATTACAATCCGGACGAGTGGGACGATGGCCCCATTTATCATCCTATGGGTCATCAGCCTCAACGCCGGGGATACGGCCCTTCGTCCCGGGGGTCGATGAGGGGCAGGGGCGGTCCACGGGGAGGAGCATTCAGAGGCAGTATGCCACAGGGTGGACGGGGTGTCCAAAGAGAACGATCTCCTGTCCCGGAGTACCAGCCGCCGTTCAAGGCTCCACTGTCTCAGCAGCAAGGAGGTCGAGCGAAACCCATGACTGGAGCAGAAGTACCATCCTATGATCGACGGTTCGGTCAGGGCGCGCACTCCGATAGACCTCGGCCACCTCAACGGCGGTCAGAGCAGCAATCGCCGGCGTGGAACGTCGCTGCTAGCAAAGAGGCTCACTTTGCTTACGAGGAGGACTACGATGAATTTGAGGAATATGAAGAAGAAGGGTACGATGAGTATGGCCAACCCGTCGGTCCAGCAGGGCCGACCCGTGTGGGAGCTATCCGAGGATAGACCGATAGTGTGCCATGGGGCTGATTCTTAGCTCCTGCGGCATGCCTTTAGATGCCTGTTCACATCTTGTCCAGAATATATACATTCTGTCGAGTCAACAGGATTCTTCCATTGTGAAAGTAATTAGAAAAACGGAACTTTCATATATGACCCTAGATGTCTGTAATACCGGCAGAGACACGACACGGTAAAGTGCCGACATCGGAGGATTCCCTCCGCATCCGTCTTGACTCTTTTCTATCGCAGCGGCCCTGCTCTAGGAACTTCCCACCATTTATTTGCTACAGCCATTGGAGATCAAACACGTTACGGGAATATCGCTCGACTACTCGTTTTAGTCCGTCTATCCAATAAACTTTTGTGCCTTTTGATGGGGATTAAACAGCCCTCTGCACCTGATTTATGATGCTGTCTAAACCCCTCGGACGGCTATTTCATCCCTCTAAACTACGCAACCAGAATGTAGAAATGCACCGACATTTCACCTCCAGCATAGCTTCATTATCCAAAAAGCAAAACAGCATTCCAGCAGCGTATTACCGCGGGGGGACGTCGCGCGCTATCTTCTTCCGAAAAGAGGATCTACCGTTGGAACGGCAGCAGTGGGATGATATTTTCCGCGGTACCATCGGTAGTCCCGATCCATATGGACGCCAGCTAGACGGAATGGGAGGTGGCATCTCCAGTCTGTCCAAGGTGTGCGTGGTCAGCAAATCCGACCGGCCGGATGCTGATGTTGAGTACACCTTTGTTTCGCTGGGGGTGAAGAACATGGATGTTGATTATTCTAGCAACTGTGGGAACATGATTAGTGCGGTTGGGCCATATGCAGTCGATGCTGGTCTCTTTTCCGTGGCTGGCGACGCCAATGACGTTGTCTCTGTCCGAATATTCAATACCAACACGGGAAAGGTCATCCGATCCACGTTCCCCGTAGTGGACGGGGAGGCAGCAGCAGCTGGGGATTTTGCTATTGATGGCGTGGCTGGTACAGGCGCTCGAATACAGCTCGATTTCATTGACCCTGCAGGCTCAAGGACGGGCAAATTGCTGCCAACTGGGAAGGTTGTCGATTGCCTTGACGGCATTCCCGCATCATGTATCGATGTGGGCAATCCGTGCGTTTTCGTGCGTGCTTCTGACCTGGGAGTCCCAGGAAATCTGACACCGGATGAGATCGACGCGCATCCTACTTTACTCTCACAGTTGGATTCGATCCGTCGACAAGCTGGCGTCAAGATGGGACTGGCTGAAACACCGAAAGAGGTGCCTGGAAGTGTTCCCAAGATCTGCCTCGTTTCATCGCCATCGGATTCCTATACGTCTGGAATGATGCAGACGTCAAAGGATGTCGATCTGGTGGTTCGCGCTCTCTCCGTCGGCCAGCCGCATAAAGCCGTTCCCATCACCGTCGCTTTGGCTCTTGCGACGGCTGCCAGAGTGTCCGGCACTGTTGTGGCCGACGTGGTAAGCGACAAACCAGTCGATTCGGCGGGCATTACTTTAGGCCATGCCAGTGGTAATCTGCTGGTCAGCGCAGATTTCGACCCCAGCGGTCGTTTAGGCTGTGCGACGGTCTACCGAACAGCCCGTCGGATTATGGAGGGGCGTGTTTTCTGGAGAGATACTTCCGCTTAAACACCTGGAAGATATAAATAGGTGTGAACATGGAGTTGCCTCGCTGAGTTTTGGCAACGTCTGCATTGTCAGGGGATTTGTATACATTGCTTGAAAACAGACGTACGACTAGTGAGATTCTATTGCGCATATATCCACTGCAAACTATCATAAATGGAGTTTCCTTGCTTTATCTTACATTCTCTGCACAACTAGACTGTATTCATTGAGGTAGTGCTGGCTGCCTCTCCTTAAGCCCGGGGAAGCATTAGGCTGATGAGTTACAAAGCATGCGCTATAGAGGTAAAGATCAATCAGTGAGACTACCTCTATACATCCATGGTGATATACCATGCACTTTCGAACTTAAAGTACAAATACAATCTATCGGTTCACTATGATAGCCACCCAGCGCGTCCTGCTTCTCCCGGAAATCCGCCGTTCTATCATCGCGTGGGCAGGGGAAGAGCCATACAACTACGACAGCTTCTACGACGCGAAGCGGAACAAAACGATATCATGCTCAAGAGAATATACCCTTCTGTGCTGTGGTCTAGTCAATAGAACCTGGTATCACAAAGCGATGTGCATCGTCTGGAGGGATCTCCATCCACCCATGTGGTGGCATAATCTCCCTGGTTATTTGCAGCCTAGTACACCAGATCGTCGCCAGTCTACGCCAATTTCGTAGAAAGAGCGTTTCTTCATGCGGTCATGGATGGAAATGACGATGGCAATGAGATTATACATGGCCTGGCGTTTCCTAGACTACGATGGCTCCGTCTATTCGTGGACTTCTACCCCAAATACTCAGCTATTTACTTCGTTGAGCATCCTGGTCAGCACCTTCTCCAACCTCCTGATTCCCTCCGGCAAGTCCTTTTCGTTTTCCCACGCGAAGCAAAGTCTCAAACATTGATCTTGAGACGATGACGGTTGATCCCCAGGGACGATGAAAATGTCGCCATTGCCGACAATCAAATTCTCCTCCTGCAGTGCTCTTTCCGTGACATTGCAAGCAGTGAGTGGCTGGGGTAATCTGATCCAAACAAAAAGGCCTCCAGCATGCAATGCGTCACTTGCTTCCCTATGGATCTCGACCCCAAGAGGAGACAGTCTCTCCTTGACCGCCGATACCATAATGGAATGTCGGCGAGAGTATGCTGGGATTAACACCTCTCTTATATGCTTCGTGACAAAATCATCTTGTAGCATTTCATCAATGAAGGTCGACATGAGTTGGGATGGAGGGCCGCCTGACACTGTAGAGCCACTGAGTGATTCCCGTTTAGCCCAGGACAGTCATAGTTGGTGAGCGGACTTACACTTGTGACAAGCCATAAACTAATTGAGGCTCTCCCTCGGCCCATCCAACACGACAGCCAGGGGCAACGATCTTGCTAAACGTCCCATTACTGACGACGTTACCGAAGATATCCCGTGGTCCACCATCAAGTGTGCGATCTAGATCCAGGACGCGAGGGAGTGTGGATCTCCATGAATCTCCATTATCTGGAGAATGAGCGGCAGACCAGTGCAGAAAGTCGTAAACGTCGTCGCAAATTACTAGAGCATTGAATTTGCGAGCCAAACGAACGAGAGCCTCTCGCGTCCTAAGAGACATGGTGACTCCTGTGGGATTGGAGAAGTTAGGCACGCAGTAGATGACGTGGCTATATATCTTCCTGTAGCGCTCTGGACGCTTGTATCCTTCTACCTTTAAAAACTTAGCATTGGTAGCTTTTGCAATGCTTTCTTCAGCTCACCTTCTCTGCGACTGCCTCATCATTAGCGAGAGCATGTTCAAGAAACTCCATATCCATCCCCTCCTCATCCTCAGGAACAGCTCTTAACCTCCGGTAGAACCCTGCATCCTCAAACATCCTGAATGCAAGATGATAAGTCGCCTGTGGCATCCATATGTACCTTGTCTGCGATGGATCAGTAAAAACTTGCAGGATATTCGACAAGTTCTGGCTCGCTCCTCCGGTTATGCAGATGCGACCCGCTTGAATCGGCAGAGGGGGTTTGTAATATCTCGTCAGCCACTCGGCAAGGTGAGTCCTGAGTGGAAGGTGACCTTCATCCGGCCCATAGTCCAAGCCGGTTACGAAAACTTCCGGCTTCGATAAGGCTGATACCGCAGCATCGCTTAGGCGCTGGGTGGGAAGAAGCGCCGTGGCGGGCGACCCTTTCAACAAATCGATACAAGGTGTTGAAGACATCGAAGATCAATGAGGTTGGCAGAACTTGTTGAACACGAAGACCAACAACGGCTCTGACCCATTTATATACTGATGACGAAGTTGGGATTGGCTCTCTCTTACGTGGGGATACAGGATTTCCGTTTTGGGTAATCAAGGCGATTCAACCAATCAGTGCATGCCAAGCAATGGATCCGACGGGAGGTACCAAACGACGGGTTCTCCGTATGTCCTTGGGACCATTGGAGCTGCTTACAGATATAAACTCTTCTTCCTTCTTTCCTTCCATCTTCTTCCTCCTCCTTCCTCCAGAGTCAATTGTACCTCATAATCCCGTATAAGACAGCAACACAATGGGGCACATCAAAGACTTCGCTGTAGAAAAGGCAAGTAAATCAATGCCAGGCCGCAGGAGTTGATGGCTGACTGTCACAGTGGATGGACGAGCATGAGACATGGGCAACTCATAATCTCGCTGAGACCTGCTGTGCCTCCGTCTCACTGGACGATATTTTGGCCTTCGCGGGGAACAAGGACAGAGCTAGCCTTATCGACTTTTCCCAGAAGCAGACCTATGGGGCAATCCAGGGCAGTGATACCTTGCGCTCCAACATCGCCAACCTGTATCGCGACGACCAATCTGAGCCATTTCCAAAAGACAACATCCTTGTCACGAATGGCGCCATCCAAGCCAACTTTCTAGCTCTATATACCAATGTTGCTCCGGGTGACCATGTCATCTGCCACTATCCCACCTACCAGCAGCTCTACTCCGTTCCCGAGTCCTTCGGCGCCGAGGTCAGCCTTTGGAGGGCAGACGAGCAGAACGGATGGCGGGTCAACTTGGACGACCTGAGATCGCTGATCAGACCGAATACCAAAGTCATCATCATTAAGTGAGTACTCTAGCAGCCACCAAGCTACTCCGAGGAATTGAAGCTGGGCCTGACGAATTCACAGCAATCCTCAGAATCCGACCGGTGCTGTCCTGAGCCGTGATGTGCTGCAGGAGATTGTGAATATTGCGCGCGAGCATGGCATCATCATTCATAGTGATGAGGTATATCGGCCGCTTTTCCACTCCCTGCAGGAGGGGCAGGAAGAGCCGCCTTCCATACTCTCCTTCAATTATGAGAAGACCGTCGCCACTAGCTCAATGAGCAAGGCTTTCAGTTTGGCCGGGATTCGACTTGGTTGGATTGCATCCAGAAGCCGGGAAATCATAGAGCAGTGTGCGACAGCTCGCGACTACACTTTGATTTCGGTCAGCCAGATCGATGACCGGATTGCTGCATGCGCATTGTCAGAGCCAACGGTGAATAATATCATCAAGCGTAACCTTGACCTGGCAAGAGGCAATCTGGATCTCCTCGATAGCTTCATCAAGGAATTCGCCGGGGCTGCCCGATGGGTCCGACCACATGCAGGCACCACAGCTTTCATCAAGTTCGTGAATAAGGACAACCTTGCGATTGATGATGTGGAGTTCTGCAAGCGTTTGCAAGAGAAGTATGGAGTGATGTTCGTGCCAGGCAGCAGGTGCTTCGGAGAAGGCTCAACCTTCAAGGGCTATGTCCGCATCGGGTATGTATGCGAACGTCAGGTCTTGATTGATGGTCTGGAAGCGTTGCGGAAATTCATGGCCGATGCTTATCACTCTCTGCCAGTGGCCGTTTGAGGAGCCGTGAAGAAGATAGACGCAACTGTCAACTGATAGTCGCAACAAGAATGACAAATCCATGTACTTGCATCAAGTATTGAAATCATCACGATGTCGCTAGAAATAATATCCGTTGTCTGTGGTTTACCCAGAGAGATGCTGAGACGAACGCAGTATAGAGTGTATTCAAAAGAGAACAAGTTCCAGCCCAGACTGTGCAAAGTAGACGTCCCAGCGCGAGGATGCGCCCGACTCCCAATAACGAACAAGAGCGTCCCTTGCTCTAGTAAAGTTCCCCATACCCATGGTCTGCATGTTCACCATCCTAACTAGAATATATTGGCGTTCGTGAGGATCATCTGTCTCACAACCGGCGCTAAAAATGGGCCACAGGATGAGGACATTTGCCGGAGAGAATGGTCTGACTCCCTGAACGTTGTCGATAATGGCCGTAACTTGCGCCCTGACCTTGGCATGACTTTTTGGAAGCAGTTCGACTCGGCGATATAGATGCAAAAGTGCGGAGTGGATGAAGGCGAGGTGTGTGTTGTGCAGTTCAGATGCAAGAACTTGATCATGGGAGGCGAGGGTGGCGGCCGATGGGGCCTGGTTGGCAATGGAGAGTATTCTCCTCTCCAGATCCTGCGCGTCATCTGTCAATTCCTCGGACAGGGCAGAGGATGGCTCAGTAAAGGTTTCTAATATTGACTGCTCATGCACGTTCCGCCGCGCCAACTGTCCGATTCGCGCCAGCAGAGGCATTAGCTGGGTTGAGTAGCCACAGATCTCATCAACGTGTCCATTGCCGCCATTAGGATTCCGAGTCAGGTTCCAGTACTGCCCATCATTGACACATCCCTCATGTGTACCTGAGAGGCCTGCCAGGATGTCGAGAGTAGCGAACCATTTGAGAAGACACAAAGAAAACGGGTCAGTATCACCGTCAGCTGCCCTCTGCCTCTCAAGTAAGGCCGTGAGTAATTTCATTACTCCAGACAAATGGACCTTCCAAGTTCGAGCATTGCCATTACACACATCATTGGTACATAAAACCATCGCTGTCATGGCTGTTTCAGGCTTGAGAGTCTCGGCAGGATCAGCCAATGCAGCACGCAGACCCGTAACTGCGAGGTCAGTGAATTTTAATATTGTCAGTTGACTAGCTGAAGGTTCCTGGATAAGTCGAGCGTGATGACTGCACGAAGCTGCAAGAAGTGCGTGCAGAAGATGCGGCGTTTCCATCGCAGTGGCCACCAACGTCTGACCAAAGACAGGCGGGGCAAGAGGGAAAAGAACTCGAATTGTCTGAGTAGCAAAGTGATGCATGAAAAAGTGAGAGTCGGGAGGTGTCAGACACTCCAATGGATTGAGCGATGCTTGGAGTGGTACGACGCTCCGTTCGGCTGTTGATGGGTTTCTCAACTCGCCACGCACTGGAGATGATTTTCTACAGTGACTCCAAACAGCGACAAAGCTGGAGTCATACCTGCACTCTTTAGGGAATCGGATGCATCTAGAGCACACTGGCCTCCGGAGGTCACACTATTGTAGATGAGCGAGAGCAGCCATTTGAGGGGAGTCATATGCACATACTTTCACTTTTTTGCGTCGGCATTCGGAGCAGCCATCGCGTCTGCGAGGCAAGCGGAGGCTCCGAGGGATGTCACCGGGACTTCTGCCAGCCATTAAAGGGCAAATTGACGAATTATGGATGGTTGACGGCTAAATGTCAATTCTGCCAGTTGATGCTGGGAGAAACTGAGACGGCGCCCGCGAGAGCAGACCACGTGCCCAGGAGACAAGACTTGATGCCTCAGGCAATAACAAGCAATTCTCCCCCTTGACACTGCGCACTTCCTGATAACATTGTTTTACCAATACTCGCCGACTCTTCACTGAATAGCCAGAATTACTGGTCGACCCCTATTATCAAATTGGATCTCGAGTACATAGAGTAAACCCAGAGCGCGATTGATATCAGATCGATTCACTATGCAACTCAATCATCCTATAGTGAAGGCAGGCAGGAAAAATTTCATAGTCCATACTTGGCCTTAGGATCATCATTCGGCCATCACATTCACTCTTGTCACCGGCCCTTTATATACCGTTTTTGCATGCAACTGGTAATACACCAGAGAGAGCAGAATGACGCCTCCGAAGATTGCCACGCTCCAATTCATTGAGGTTGGATTGACCTTCTCGGTTAGAGGGAAGAAGCTAAAGACCCAGATGATAATCAGAACCAGAATGGAGACGGTGTCGACAAAGGGAGTAAATCTACCCATGCTCCAGCGGGCGGGAGGTAGAGGCTGGTTGCGCCAGCGCCGCAGGCGAACGCAGGTGATGGAGATGATGTATGAGGAAAGGAGAGCCGCCGTGCCTAGAGACATGATGGCATTGAAGGCCACGGACGATCCAATATTAATCAGGGAGAGAAGGGAGACAATCACCAAGCTCACGCATAATGCATTCAAGGGGACGGTGAAAGTTGGGTTGACCTGCGAATAGTCATTAACACCATCCAGCATCCACTGGGGAAAGCGCCGACCTTGGACAAGAAGTCGGAGAATGGAAGCCCCTTGTCTCGTGCAAAAGCATAGACCTGGCGAGACGTGGTGGCAACGTTGCTGATGGCTGCGCAGAACTGCATGGCCATGATGACCACTGTCATCCCAGTAGCAGCTCCGACGGATCCTGTCGAGTTGAGGAAGACTTGGATGAATGCAAAGCCTGTCTGGGATTCCAGCACATGGTCAATATCCCCAACGCAGAAGGCGAGTGTAACGATCATGACAAAGCCCGTAGATCCGTTGAGGATAAGCGTCCAGATCATGCCAAGGGGGAGAACTCGCGATGCGTCACGGATCTCTTCGGCTGTTCACCACATCAGTTGTCTATCATCTGTGGGGGCTCGGAATTTACACCTACACATGTGGACGGCTGAGTCAGGGCCTTTGAATTGTACTTATTGTCAGCAGATCACACCTCGCGTATCTTGGGATATCCGAACGTACCGATCAAGGCATAAATCGGTCCGACTAACCCAACCAGGCAAGCAAGACCGTTATTTCCCCAGCCGCCTCGATCTTCGATGGATCCAAAAACATCCGATGCGGCCGGTCTCGGCGAAAGAACCCAAAGAGGAATCAGAATACCAAAGAATCCAAAGCAATGGATAACCAGGATGATCCCCTCGATCAAGGGTAATTTCTGCGCCAGCAAGGTGTTGAACAGCAACGCAACCAGTGCTACTGCAATGACCAGCAGAGTGACATGCCATCGCTCGTAGGTGTAGGTCTCGGGGTAATTGATGGCAACCACTCCGACCATCATGTTGGCGACTGTATAGCAACATCCGGCAATTCCAGTGTGCCATCCAAGCACGCAGACCCAGCCGGTTATGTAGCTCAGTATGCACTGGCAACTGGGAGGTGCAAACTCGGATACCCAGTGATACTGGCCACCGGATGTTGGAGCCCTATCAGTCTATTAGCTGTTTGCCCGTGGAAGAATCGCCGTAAGGGGAAGAAATACATGGATGCCATTTCAGCCATGGAGAGAATAACAAAGCTGAACCCGGCGAGAGCTCCTAAATAGGTGTATATCATGCCTCCCTTGCCGCCATTGATCAAGCCATATGATGCACCACTATTTCGATCAGTATTGCTCCCATCTCACGTTTAGAGCAGACGGGGGAAGAAACAGACAAGAGAACTGCTTCCCAGGTACACATTAACACCGCCGTAAACCCAAGAACTGACAGAAATCGGAAATTGCGCTACTCGCATTTAGCCAACATTCAGTGCTGTCAGATGTTGTCCCATACATTCAATTCCTGCCGCCTTCCCACTCGCCGCATATCATTACGATCTTGCGCTGTTCCCATCTTTGCAGACACCCCATCTTCATAGGCAGTGGTATAGACCACTGACTTATTTTCCACCCACATCCTGATTCGATAGGCAACCGATTCCAACTAAAGTCGACCAAAACAAAAGAACCGCGACTGGCAGTTGTGGACGTTAGAAAGAGAGAATAGAAAATAGAGGGATGTTCAGGGGCGCCAGGTGTCAGTGCAGAGTTGACTGAACCACCATAGTGCGGAAGTTGTCATCACCGCGCTCGCTTGTACTAAGCAAGGGTAGTGCTCGCCGTAATATCAAGCCGGACAAATACGACTCCAAGTTGATTCATGAGCCTACTCTTGTGCAGGGCCTTGCAGGGGTCGTGCTTGTGTTTTCTCCCGTCCCAGACATCTTATTGCACACAATGACCATTTAATATAAAGTCAGCTAAGGGTTGGCTGAATCCCTGCCTAGTCTCCGCGACGGCTTTGTGACTGCTCCTCGTCTTTGTCTGAATCAGTGGCCATTTCGTTCTAGGTGCGTCCTTTACAGGGGATTTTCGGTGCGAAAATGGCCGATCACTCAACTATTTATTGGGAGGATTAATAACTGCATTCTACAACCCCTGTTAGGCTGTTTGAGAAAGACAGCTCGAGGTCGGGCCGCGATTCCCGCGATTCCAACCCTGCCCATCGTATCCAAATCCGAGGACACTCATTCTCGAGGAGGGATATTACCCTTGGAATGGCTGAATAATATCAAAACTTCATTTGCACTTCTTCTTCCGGCCTCAACCATGGCTGTTTGTACTTATATCAATCTCTCGAGAGGGTTGCGTTTCTGTTCCATCATAGAAGACACCCAATATGACGGGCGACGCGCCGTTCGTGATAACAGCAACGGATAAATCCGGTTCAATTGCGGTTGCAGCAACACTGTTCATGACATGGATGGTCATTGTCTCCTTGATCCGTCTCTATATGAGACACACCATGAATGGGCCATTGGGAATGGATGACTGGGCTGCTTTCTCTGCCGGCGTAAGTCAAGTCTCGAAGTTTAAATCTGGCAGACTGAAGTGTACTAGACGTACTGACGATCTTGCGACCAAGGCCATTGGGATAGTCCACGTGGTGATGATTATGAACGGTCTCTCCCACGGACTAGGCAGATCGCATCAGGCCAGTTCCGACTCTGAACTTGAAAAGGCTGGGGAGGTGTGTTTGCCTACGTTGTAGATTTGCAGAATATTGCGAATTGCTTATAACTTACCTCTTAGGCATTCTATACGGCAAATCTTCTGTTGTTCGCCGGTCATGGTTTAGCGAAGATATCAGTTTGCAGTCTTTTACGACGACTCGGTCGAGAAAAGGTGTATCTGTTTGCTTGCAAAACCAGCCTTCTTATCACGAGTGCCTGGTGCATCGTTTCGATTCTGGCAGTAGCCCTGAGCTGCCCCGCGAGAGACCTGTGGTCGGCGGAAATTCACTGCCGTGATCTTGTAAGCTCTTCTCAAGTGAGGCCGGACATCATGAACTGAGCTGAGAGCCATGATATAGAGTACTGCTTCGAAAGCAATTACAGCCTATGACGTCCTAACCGAGGCTCTCCTCGTTCTTCTTAGCGTGTCCCTCGTGTGGGCCCTTCAGATGCGTCGAAAAGACAAAATGACTGTCGTCTTCGCTTTTGGTACTCGGATAGTGTATGTCAAGTCTCCTAATGCGCTGGACTAAAAAATTAACCAGATTTCCGTTATTGTCAGAGTGATCGTTTTGACGATAGTCCGCCAATCCTACTTCAATACCGCGCTCCGAGGAAAAGAGCCTCCCTTGTCTCTGGCCCCCACACTGATTGCGACAGAGGTTTTATTGCATTGCAGCATTATGCTAGCAACGGTTCCCTGCCTGAAGCCATTTATTATTGCCTTCAATACGGGCTGGGGCCAGGGTGTCACAGGGACTCCGGAAACATCGTACTACCAAAAAACCGAAACAAGTGTATCGCAAGCACATCCAAACAACCCAAACGAGGAAAATGAGTTGGACGTGGCTATGACCACACAGTCTCTAGATAGTTATACCTCACAACAACTAATCATTCATCGAACGCAAGAGTGGAGTTTAAGGGAAGAGTTGGAGATGCGACGGGTAGGAGCCTGATCTATACCACTCGGATAGAAAACAAGACAGATCGATTCGTCTATATTATCACTTATAAATTGATCTTTTTGCGACAGTCTTTCCTTCCAGAACACGCCAACCTTAATTCTTCAATTGTGACTCTCTAACCATCGGAAGAGCCCCTTGTAGATCGACCTCGACATCCGTTCGCTCACGGAAGCCGAACTTTCGATAGAGAGGAGCAGCAGCTTGGTGCGCATCCACATAAGCAAGGACCCCTTCTTCGTCAGCCCGCTCACAGCCCCATTGGATCAACATGGACCCAGCTCCCTGTCGTCGGTAGACTGGATGTGTCACCAGCATGTCAAGATCTAGTCTTAGAGGTCAAACTTTGTCAACAGAGTCGGAGTCAAACACCTACAATAGAACTGCTTGTCTGCGAAGAACTTGATTCGCTCTTTTTCGAGCATCCCGAACAACTCGCTGCAAGCCTGATGATCGGATTTCTCATGCCAAGGGGGAAATCGCGGTCCACTTTGCTGCGGATTCAGATCCCATTTGGCATATGCGACTATAAAACCAGGTGAAGCGACATCCACCACTTTGAGATACCTTCTGTGTGGGTTATGCAGTATATCCTGCCGATGTGCTTCATTCCACCACTGCCGGACTCCTGGGGTATCTGGAAACATCTTCAGATTCTGCGGGATGCTGAACGCATTATACCAGAGCTCAGTAATTGCGACAATGTCACCCAGCTCAACGGGCTTCATTTCAAAGGTGGATATCGTGGGATGCATGGTGTCTTTGGTCATCTTGATTTCTCCAGTGTCCCCAATGAAAGTGTGACAATTCAGCGGGAGGCTAGTCATTTATCAAGCAGTTTTCGCACACCTAGGTTAAGTGTCCGCTACTACAGGGGTCTGAGACACTAGGCCTACTAATATTCTCTGCTCTGCTCTCCCTTGTCTAGCTCCAGTTTTCTTGGATCAAAAAAGAAAGTACTGCGTGCCAATCCTGATACGTGTTTCTCCAAATCCAAAAAGGTATATGCGATCCAAAGATATACATGATCGTCTACAGGGAGTAACCTCTAGCGGGCTATTTCTAGATGTCAGATGGGCCGAGCTATCATCATCGATCGTTATCAACGATAGTAATTGATTAAGCATGCGCAACAAGAAAAGCAACTTGATTTTGGAGATCTCTGAAACTTCTACCCGGATGGCCAAAATCTGCGATCCCAGTGCAAAAGGTCATTGGAACGTCTGCTGACTGACTCGGAACGCAGCCAGGAAACTTAAGGAACTGTCAGCCGCATATGTAGATAGCCATGGCTGAAATGGACGGTTAAGATGGCGTCCATCTTTGAGTTACCCATCCATATTTATGCACTGTATGGGAATGACTTTCGTGTGCACCATCCAGAATCGATAAAGGGCAATCTGCCTGACTGTATGAACAGTTCAGCGAGTTGGCTGTTCAGCGCTCATTTTCATGGGACTTTGGTCCCCGAGCAGAGTCGCCCACTTGATCAGGACGGTGTCGCAGAAAAAGAGAATGATTATCAGCCACGTTCGCACTAGCACTCCATCGTCACAAAGATTCTGTCTGCGGGCTGACTATTCAACCAAGACCAGCTGCTCATGAACACAATTAACACTGTCAATCAGGCTACTGCTTGTGTCGTCACAACCACTGAGTTTGCCATCGGGCTGGGGATACTGAGAGATCGATGGATCCGCTGACTCGGCGGCGCGAGTCCCACAGATGCTGGTGAATATCAGTATTGTCTGTCGAACGATGCGTATGGACTCTGCAGAAGACTGGCTATCTTCCAGGTCTGGTAACACCCTAGCACTGTAGAGATACTCCAGTCCAGCAATCGCCAAATGCCTCGATGTCTGCTTAAGTTCATCCGGACTGATCCCCAAGGACATTAATCTTTTAAATCCTGCTCCTATGTAAGCATCACTGCCGAACACACTCCGATTGACCCGGCTAGATGATTCCATTGTACCAAAATTGGCCCACCACTTGGGTCTTCCACCTGTAACTGTCCGAATCCGATTACCCTGTTGGGTGGGCTGATCTCCTGTGGAGCCGCTGGGAACAACTGCTCCAAAGCATGTATGAGGTCCGTGAATAGTACCATGGGTGAAACAGTGAAGCAAGGATGGACTCCACGAAGGCAATCATAGAGGTGGTTCGACAATGCGGCAAGGCAAGGGTCGCTATGGTCTGACCTCAGTGTATCAACACGCCATTGTCTTTCGACGGGGCCAAAACCCAGAGAAGACCGATCCTACCCGTACATTAGAGAAGACCTCGTTTAGTGGCGACTGGACGGGTCCCACCAGTTTCGGCTGTTGCCGTCGGAGAGGCTGCCATCAAAGTATGCGAGTGTAACTATTCTTGAAAATAAATAGTAATCATTAACATATGATTGATAATCCGGTAGGCATATACGGTGGAATTTGGACGGTTTCATTATCCGTCAGCTGGTCAGCAAGGGGCACCGTGGGAATACCGCCACACTGATGGCTCAGTCATCTTCGACGGAAGAACAGATCGGTATGTTCTTCACCGCTTCGGTTCCCAACCTTTGTTGTAGGATCAAAAGAGTCAAGACTTTGGCAGCAAGCCGGGGATATACGGAGACCACTCGAAGAGAAACATGTCTTACTCCAGCCTACTCTATATAGACTAGGTTCGTGTCGTCGTTGTTATTTATGACAAAGAATGGACCTGTCTGCCCTGGTCACCTGAATAATAACAAGCTGCAGATCTGCACGATGATGTCGACCTGAAACATATCAGCCAATCAGATTGCGTTTTGGTATAACCGAGGCTATATATAGGAGTGTCAGTGGTGATCATTTCCCGTATAGGGGTAGATAAGTTGCGGGGGATGTGGGTAACTGCGGATTCCATTGGAGGATTAAAGCATTCAGCCATCAACGTACAGAGTAACACTTGACCAATCACCTGCTATTCTTGTACTTCGCTCAGGAAGACTGAAGAATGTACTTGGAAACCATGGCGAGAGAACCACCCTTGCAATCATCATATCCGACCTCAAAAGCTCCAAGTTAAAGCTACCTAGCAGCAGAGGCAAAAAGGTTACCAATCACGTATGTCTCTCCGCGGGTGCCCTAATACTAGTGTGTGGTTTAGGACCTCAATCCACAGTACTACTCCGTAAGTTAGTGGATGAAGTACTTCAGTCCAGCAGAGGCTTGTCTCACTTAGGTTACATCGACTAAAGGGCATCGATATTCCGGAGGCACTCGTACTGAGTCTCTGTCATAGTATAAAGACAGCATCTCCCAATCCAAACCTCTCGATTCTCATCCTCATCACAACATCATCTATTCTTTCTACAGCCTTGAAACTCCAGGTTCCAATATCCTCACCCGCACCACTACATCCATCATGAAGCTCTCTACCGTCGCCTCTGTTGGCTCTCTCCTCGTCGGAGCCCACAGCCTGCCCACTGCCCCGGCAAGTGACAATGGTCCCTTCCAGGTCATGGCCCTCCGCTCCGCCTCTCCCATCCACTTTCTCGGCATGACCGCTTCCAGAAACAGCTTTTGGCTGGGCGGCGAGACCGCAACCTACTGCCCTGACGTCGTTAAGCAGCAGGGTGCCTGCCCCGACGGTACTCAAACTGTTCTGTATACCAACGCTTTGGTGAGTCTTCACCTCTCTACCATGGTATTGCTACGAATCTTGCTAACCTTTCATAGGACGTCTCGGTCCCGGGTGGCCAGCAAATCTACGTTGACCCCTCTGGTGCCGTCAAGTTCACCATCGCTCACTCCGCCAACATGCCCCCTGGCTCCACCGTCGAGGGATTCTCCTACACTTCCGGTGATCCATTCGGCCACTGGAACTTCAACGGCCAGGGCGCCACCGGCTTCATGGCTTGCCCTACTCAGGGCGATGCTCCCGCTCCCTACCAGGTCTTTGCTGCCATCAGCTCCGCGACCGTCCCTACTGGCAATGTAGCCGACTGCCTCGGGTTCGATGCGGCCGCTATCGCCTGGACTCCTTCTGAGGGTCAGACTGCTGCCGCTTGGCAGTACACGTAAGACTGAATCGGCTCCTGTATGCTTTATTAATAATATAATGGTATGAATTATGTTGCGCAGACGGGTCCGACTGTTGAGAAGGGATGGTGTTTTGTACATATTGCATCATGGAAATATATCTTGCTTCATAGCCTTCATTGCGCGATTCAAATAACACAGCAATACGAACCTCCCGGCTACATTTATAGCTCTTTAATTGATGTTTATTCTCAGAAATTTACTCTACTAATTTACCGAGGAAATAAATTATCCATGGATACTAAGGTACGAATTTGATGTTGATCCATAGGTATCATCACGTGGCACTGGAGACGCGTGACGTCAGCGGGGGAGGAACCATCATCAACAATCAATTCAACGACTCCCAGATAAAATCTTGCTCATCATTCCTCAAGCTTATAGCTCGATAATGGGAAGCTGGAATCTGCAATGATTCATAATGTACCCAAATGCGGCATCTCCACTGTCGCTCTCACCGTCTCCCACCTCCTCCGAAGCCTGGACCCCGGCTCGGAGACCGAGTCTCGAACCTGAACGGGAGATTCTCTCAACACGGGGCCATAGTCTCCCAGGACTACTTCGCGAGCGATCGCTTTCACTCCCGCCTCCTGCTGCTCGGGATGAGTACGTTGTTGAGCATGGTGATGGAGCGCCCTTCCGGAACAGACGCGAAAGTCTTCCGGTCTCTCTCAGAGGAATGGCCTTGATCGGAGCAAGTAATCCAATGTACCAATGGTACGAGACCTCTCGTCTCGAAGACGTGTCATGCCTTTAACTGGCAGGACAGGCATCGCTATTATAAATCCCCCGAGGAGCTGAAAAGCATGAAGAAACACCTGTACGTCAACGTTCATACACCCTCGACATCGTCCGGCCCAAACTGACGCTCGCAGGCGGAAATACTACGAACGCACCAATGAGCTCGTGTCACAGTATCTATACATCGATCAACTGCTGGACTCATCGCTACCACACCAATTGATAGATGAATACAATCATGATCACGATAAAGTCGCCCACCTGTCGACCAGAGGCCGAGAGCAGAATGGTGAGGGTTCACCAGTAGACACCTCAACCCGGAAGATCAAAAGGACTCCACGCAACTTATACCGTGTTCCCAGCGAACGGTCACCGCTGCTGCCGCCAACCATCGAAGAGGACGCCCCGTTTCCCGAAATCCCTTCCCCAGATGCTCATGAGCACGTCCAGAGCGGCGATCGCATCGTCACAGTCGCCATCTATGTCAACTTGCTCGCCAATGTGTTCTTGCTGGGTGCCAAAATTGCGGTCATGAGTCTGACGAGTTCCATGTCCGTTTTGGCCAGTTTGGTGGACGGCGCATTAGACTTTCTGAGTACGGTTATCGTGTGGACGACAACTAAGCTTGTCCAGCGTCAGGACCGGTACCGATACCCCATCAGTCGACGGCGGCTGGAGCCTCTCAGTATCCTGGTGTTCGCGGTGGTGATGGCGACCTCATTTGTGCAGGTGGCCATCACCTCGTTGGGGCGTTTGCTAGGTCCAGACCACGAACTGGTAAATCTCTCGCTACCAGCAATCTTGATCATGGCTAGCACCGTCGTGGTAAAACTTCTCTGCTGGTTTTGGTGCCGATTGATCAAGAATACTGGTGTTCAGGCCCTAGCGCAGGACGCCATGACGGACGTGGTCTTCAACCTTTTCAGTATTCTCTTTCCACTGGGTGAGTCGTACATCCCTCTTTGTTGGCGACGCGAGCTGACCGATAATCAGTGGGCTTCTTTGCCAACTGGTGGTTCTTGGACCCGCTTGGTGGTCTCCTGCTCTCCGTCTACATCATCTCGAACTGGAGCGGGACCGCAGCCGAGCATATCCGCCATCTCACCGGCGCCGCTGCCTCGCCCACTGACCACAGCGTCCTGCTGTACATGACCATGCGGTTCTCCAAAATAATCGCCAAAATCCAAGATTTGAAGGCCTACTACGCGGGGGATCATCTCAATGTCGAAGTGGACATTGTTGTGGATGAGAGAACGAGCTTGCGCGATGCTCATGACGTCGGTGAGAGTCTACAGTACATGCTGGAAAGCGTGCCTACTGTCGACCGCGCGTTTGTGCATCTGGACTATGACCCGTGGAATATCCCGAGCCACATGAATCAATTGGAAGCATAGTCTGTGTATCCGCGCGATTGCACATATATCCGCGGATATATCAATGAATATATGTGCGGCACCCTTTTGTACATACATTTTCTAATCCGAGTGGCTGGTATGTGGACTGCATTGGCGATACGGTATAGACACAGACGGCCAATAACGTATTGAGTGCAATAGATAGAGAAGCGACATATGAGTCCAATCGCGTTCAAGTATGAAGGGTTTACATCAATCTAAACTGGCGATGAACGTTACAGGCAGTAGATACTGTTCGGTGGGGGCCTTGTGCACGACTCAAGCATTCCGAGCAATATTAGTCCGCATGCCAGTACAGCGATCTGTGACGTGAGGAATGTGGCGAATATTTTCAGCCTTGCACTCGCGACAGACAGGACTCCTATCTGCTGTTTCTGTCAACCACGTGTCCAATGACAGGTGCCGACAGCCTGACGGGGTACTGATCCTATCCACTCAAACACTAGCTTATGGATACTATGCTTTATGTTATACACGCAGCGGGGTTGAAGATCAGATATTTGGATATGTGAAGGACTTCGCGAGCCTGATGGAATGCAGCTAGTGCTACTGTTTACTGTTCGCTACAAGCCAAGTGATGCTGTCTCTGCTTTTCGCGTTTCGAATATACTTCGCTGCCTACTCCAGGTCTATGGCTTCTTTTCCGTCCTGCTTGAACAAGAGTAACCATACTGAGCACCTCAACTATAAAGGATGGACTTTGAATGATTTATTGGATGCACGAATCCATGGCTGTTTACCTCGTGCAAAGGGTCCGAGCATCCACATTCGCCACAACACCTCGCATTCTTCTCTGTCTCACGAGTTGTTTATGCATTCCACACAGATGAGAAAACTCGTGATTCGACTATTCGAATCCTGCAATGATGGTGAAAGCCCTGTAGGTGGGCTGGGCCCGCGACTACATAATTGCGGGACTCGTTTCCTCTGAAGCGGACGCCACCTAGTGGCAGCAACCTACGTTCCCAGGTATTTCGCGCCGTATACTTGCAGCCACAGACCTCATCACGTTTACCATAGATAATGGTGCTCGGAACACCGTTTCAGACCCCTGCCAAAAGAAAAGAACAATGTGCGAACAAGAAGCCGTCGCTAGGAATACGCGTCCCGGTAATCTGCCTGATTCTCTCCATCCCATGCTTTCTCCATGCTTTTCCCTGTGGCCGGGTATCTCCCCGTCCTAACTTTGCCAATAGGGGCAGAGGGCAGATGTGCGACGACCCACGGATTCACAAAAGCGACCATCCCGTGAACCATTGACTCGGCAAGTGAAAAGGATCAAGTCGAGCCCCCGGCAAATCCAAACGCCTCGACGGCAACCAGCAGTCCCAAAGATTGATGAAAAGCACCTATCTGGGGAACCAGGCCATCACGACCTCCAAGCCTGTTATCCCGCCCATAGAGAACGGCCTGGGGTACCTCTTCAAGACGATACGTCGCCCTGTGCTCGTGCCGCCGGGAAGAAGGACATTTTCCGACGCCGCGGACTGGTGTCGAAGGCGAGGAGCAAAATCAGCCAAGCACAGCTGGGTATCAAAGGGACCGGTCTTCCTCAAGAGCTGTCTGGGAAAGAGAATGGAGACAGCGAGTTGTTGGGTGAATTGTCAAGGTGATCGGGGTGCTGCGTTGAGAAATAATTTATATAACACTGAGAATAGTTTCTTTTTTGAAATTGTACTGGTCATTGGCATCTCCTAACAGAGGCACCTAGTGTAGCAGGCAGATGGATTGTTGGTTATGCCAAGGACGTGACTCCCTTCAGGGTCATCTTTCAGGATGGTAAGGCCAATAGAGCAAGCTGTCTAGAGAATCAAATAACAGGAGGATTGTGTGCTAAAGGCCCTGTCGATATACCGATTCCAGGATTCCCCATGTATGCCCATCAGAAGCTTGTCTATCTCACCAGGCTATGCAGTTGATCAATTCAAACGGGGACAAGCTCCGTCATCACTGGAAGGAAAGATAATGGTTAAACAGCTTGATCCCTATTTATTCTCACTCGAAGACTGTATAGCTGTGAGTGCTTTCGTAACCATCCGAATACAAGCAGCCTTGTCCAAGATCTAGGTCACACACACGCCCAAGTATTCTCATCGGTGTACTTGCCAGGTCCCACATATCGATTCCTCTTGGGATACTTGCAGTGCTTGCGGCGATACTCTATCTTACCGTCGCTGGACTTCTTAGAGCCACGCACATACTCAGGCGCAAGACCCTTTTCCACCCACTGCACCATGGCCATCAAGACGTTATCCTGCGGGTCATCGCCGGCATACGTAGAAGATCCCTGACCGATAGAAGCAGCACCTGTCCCCGGCGAACAATGGCCCATTCCACTAATCGGGAAGAAGCGATAGAACCGGTCCAGCTCCGAGGGACTCAGCCCCATGGTATCAGCAACATGCTTGTAGTACGCCTTGGAGCTATCGGAGGTGATGATCGGATCTTCCAAGCCGTGATAGTGCAGAACCTTGCCGCCTGCCTTTTGAAAACCGGAGATATCGCCGTTGAAGGTGGAGATCTGGAAGGGATCTTGCGCATCGGCTGCCGCTGCGTCGGCGAGTGTCCAGGTAGAGTGGTCCCAGTTGCTATCGTTGTAGACGACATATTTGTACCAGTCGTCTGAATACTTGAACCCGTTTCCGCTGTAGTAGATGAAAGAGGCGGCGAGCTCAGAGCCCGGCTGCATGCGTGGGTATAGCCATTTGCCGTCCAAGCCATACATCGCGGAGAACACCTCGTTAACGGTGTTGGCCTGCACACCCGTCAGACAAGAGGTCTTGTTCACGGCCGTGGAATTGCAGATGAGGGTTTCGACGATGGGTTGGCAGAGATCGGTGTCCTCGATGATACCATCGACCGCGCCATCGAGAGCATCGCATTGCCGGATAATCTCATTGTGGATTGCGGACCACTGTGCGCTTGTCACGAACGTATCTGAACCTGGCGGCCCGGTAATTTTCAGAAATCGAGATCCCCAGCTGCCTAGATTGATAAAGTTGAAGGCCGGTGCTCCAGCCACCACGCCGTCAAAGTCCTCTGGGAACCTCTGGACAGACTTCCACCCTTGCCGGCCGCCTGTCGAGCAGCCCAGATAGTACGAAGTCTTGTATCCTTGGGGATAGAAAAGCTTGGTCAGTTCTTTCCCCACCACTGTGCCTGTGTGCAGGGCTCGGTAGGCAAAGTCCTCGATGACTTCGGGATTGTTCAGAAAGTATTGACCCGTGTCGCCAAAGTGGCCATTATTGGCCCCGATCGTTGCAAATCCGTATTGACTGGCATAGACCATGTCGCCATAACTCACGCCTGTGGTGTGGTCAGTAAACGTGACCAGATGAAAACATGGGTCACGAACAGCCATTCAACCCTCCATTCCCTGTACTCAAGAACCTTCCAGTGTAATTGCTGGGGAGCCAGGCCTCCATGAAGAACTGGCTCTTGCCCGAAGTGGTCACGTTCAGCGCAACCTGGCAAAATTCGATCGTGCTGATCGATGAGCTGGAGCCTCTGTTGCAGATACGCGGGTTATAGGCCATGGAGATGTTGGATCCAATTGGGACGTAAGTGGAAGAATGCACATGCACATTGTCAAGGTGGATTCTCTTATGGAATTGTTGACAACGAGACTCAAAGCTGGCAGAGTTGCCTGCTACGGCGGCCGAGGCCAGCCCGATCAGAGTAAACCACCGCATCATGACTACACCAAAGACAGCAGAGAGTATTATTATTCAGTGGCAGTAATTTCCGATCAACCAGACCACTTGTGTGTATGCATATTTATAGTCCTTTCTGTCCCTGACCCCTGCTCCACTTCCCCGCATTTACAGGTACATGGATGCATCATCTCCGCGCCCTCAATGGTGGGAAATCTAGAGAATAAAGGACACTGCTCTCCATCGGCAGATCTCCATCATCTCCTGCCGCCGTGCCTAGGCTTTCTGTCTCGGGGGAGGACCTGTTGCCGTGCCATGCAGCCGATTCGTTGATCGGCGTGTCCGCCGAGAGTCTAATTAGGCGGATCTTTATCCGTAACGTCGATGATTCAGAGTTGGCAAGCTTTCATCCATAGTAATTCTAATTCCTTTTCGCCTAATTGCAAGCTAGAGGAATTGTAGTCCTAGCGCGGTACTATCAGTTCAGCGGCTGGTTTACCCCAAAGGTCCACCATATTGAGTCTTTTTACGTTTCAGCATGTAGTGGGTGAGTATACAGCTAACTCAACGAGTCAAGGGAAACAACCTATGCCCTCTTATCCTTTTGCGTCTTGTGCACCCACACATAAACAAATGGATAGATCGTCTCTGGAATGAGAGTGACAATAATAATCCCAATGCTCCAAGGTGTCCAGACATACGCCCAATTCCGAGGAACATTGAAGTATCGCCAGAGGAAGACTGCATAGGCAGTGAAGCAGCCCAAGTACCGCGTGAGCCTGATCATTAGCAGTGACCTTCGACGTCATGCAGTGGACATACCATATTTCAAGAGAATGGCCCTTTGTGCTCTGATCCTTCCACAATTGATACAGACATATCCACCCAATGGGAAGCTGCAGGATAATTCCAGTCCAATACGCAGTGACCTGCTCCCGCTCATCAGGATATCTCCGAGTTAACATCCAGAGGAATGCTATTCCCGCCAGACAACCCAGGATCATATTCCGACGGAGGACCCGTCGCTCACCGGGGGTATGCGCCTTCCGAAGGGCAACAATCACAAAGCTTAGATCAAGCTCAAACCAAGCCAGAAAGGCCAGCTTCTCAAAGCGAGTAGATGTAGTTGTGAAAGCGTAGAAGAGCTCATATGCCATTGTCAGGCAGCTGTCGAGTGTTAAATCATTGCACACAACGTGCCTGGGGTGGACGTACAGGAACTGGATACTTCCCCAGCGGGCGCCCGGGTAGGTCTTATCGGAATAGGTTCGTATCATGCAGAATATGTAGCAGAATGCATAGAGCACACCGCAGCTGATGATGAGG